ATTTATATTGGGAGCAGCGGATCTGTTTATTCCACTTGGAGGACCAGTGAAATCTAGTAGCTTTGGCGAATCCCCGGGTCTTCTATCGCGAAACCTGATCTCCATTTCCCTTGCCTCATTACTTGAGGATGATGATGATGACGATGACCATGACGACATATGCTCGCGAGGTTCAATGACCTCATCGAGTTCTTCCAACTCTTCATCAGATTCATCTTCCATCAATATTTCCTCCAGTTCTTCAGCATCGAGGAGTTTTGAGTATCGGGCTCGTTTTTGAGGTTCCATCTTGGGGGAGGGGGCTTCCAGCTAAATCCTATAATTTATGATTGAAAAAGCGAGACTGTTAGGAACACCTGATAGGAACACTCGCAAAATTGTGATGCAAAATAACTGCTATAGCAGTCGAAGAGTTACAGTCCGCCACTGATACCGAAAGTCACAGTGACGAAGATGTCTTCATGCACAAAGTAACACTGGCTCAGTGGGTTTATACCTCTTCCGAGATACACAATAAAAATGATATTCCAAGAAATATAGGAGTCTGACACTGACTTCCTAACTAATAACGAAATATTATAAAATCCGCCACTGACGTCCTAACTGACAATTCAACACTGCAAACCAATCCCTGAATTCGTCACCCTTCCTTGAAAGCTGTGGTAGCACTGACATATAAGCGCCCACGAATATTTCCTCCTCTAAGTCCTCAAAACAAAGCTGACCTCTATTGGCTCACCAGTTCATAAACAGTCATATCTAAACGTAAATAGTTTCGAAACCAGTACCCTGATAAACGATTTCATTGTTCAGAGCTAACAAACGTCTGAGATGAAGTTCATGAGTTTGTTTGGGTTTCAAACCCAAGGTCAAACTGCCAGCACTCACAAAGGAAGCACGTGGCTTGCCTCTAAAAATTATAACATTCAGCCAGCTCGGCTTGCTACTTGCTGCCAATAATTGTAACATTCGGCCGTATTCAACTTCACTCTCATCTGTGATGATGGCATTAAACTTACCGACTCACATTCACTCATGATAGTCTCCCATTAACTATGCTTGGTATAGTGTAGGCCATCATTCCTACCTTTATCTTCGTATCTTGACGAATTAATCTCGAGTTTTGGAGGTTATATTGCACTGTAGTTTTTCTATTTGAGTTTTCTTGCGACTCAGTAACGAGACAATTCCTTTCAATATACATAATATCTTTTTGACTATTATTTTTAACTTTGGTATGTTTTCGTAGACAATCTTCATTCCATTTTCCTTTACAGACACAATACTTTCTATGGCTAGAGCTTCATAACGATTTACCGTTGCTATTTGTTCCTTAGGATTTATTAGTTCCAATATACCTTGAGATCTTCTTTTAAGGCCTTTTGGTATCACCTCTATCCAGCTGTTATCCACTTCCAAATCGGCTTCCATATGTTGAGTCAACGAAGTAGCGCAGTCCTCTTGAACATGCTCCTCTTTTAACATTTGAACAGTTAAGAGAGCAGAACTTCATTCATCAAGTGCTCGTGCACTTTATACAATATCGCGTATCACTTGAGCTTAAGTTACTCGAAAAACTTGCAGCACAACGTTTCATTCCATTTACCTCGTCCACCGTCTTGGAAATGGATGAGAAATATTAATGTCTGTGAACCAAGTTAGAATGTTTTCTGTTATGGAACATGGTCGTTTCATACTGTTAGCTTTAGGTGTTTGAGTTGCATTGCACGTAATTCTTTTAATCATAAGAGCTCTAAGGACCCTATTAGTGAAGTCTAAGTAGTAGTTTCTAGTATCTAGCGTTGTGGTGAATGGATCACACAGGTCCATGTAATATTAAGGATGTGGCCTCACATACATTCTTACCCTAAGCGTGATAACTCGTAGAATTCATTCGACTTCAGTTGTTTTCTTATTGACATCAATGTCAGGCTCTTTAAGAAGAGCAAGAAAACTATCGCCATATGTCCGCAAAAACACTACGGCTTAAACGTTACGATTGCAAAAACCTACCTTAATAGGACACATTATAGATATAGTTCTTAATAACATTTTAATTATGTAACTTATCTCATTCGAAATCTTAACCTTTATTGTACTTTATGTTTTATATTATATATTGTTGAAAATCCAACACTACTCTACTGAATTGTATAGTATCCAATTCAGTAGCTTAGGAATATACGAGGGGGGACCCAAAAATAACCGGAATTTATTTTTGTTATTTTTTATTTTTGCATTTTTATTGAACTGTATATTAGTCCCCTTCAAAGTATTGTCCATGTGCATTAATGCACTTGTCCCAACGCTTTTGCCACTGCTCAAAACAGTGCTGGAATTCTTGAGGCTGGATACTGTTCAAAGCCTTTAGCGTGTTTTCTTTGACTTCATCCACATCACGGAATCGCTTTCCTTTCAGACTTCTCTTCATCCGTGGAAACAAAAAAAAGTCCGACGGAGCCAGGTCGGGTGAGTAAGGTGGATGAGGCACAATCACCATGTTGTTGCTTGTCAAAAACTGTCGGACCGTCAAAGCTGTGTGGGCTGGAGCATTGTCGTGGTGAAGCAACCAGTTCCCATTTCTCCACATTTCGGACCGTTTTCGTCGCACACTCTCTCGTAATCTTCGTAACACATCCAGGTAAAAATGTTGGTTCACTGTTTGTCCTGGCGGAACGAACTCTTTGTGGACAATGCCATTCACATCAAAAAAACAAATCAACATTGTTTTCACATTGGATCGCACTTGACGCGCTTTCTTCGGTCGTGGTGAAGTTGGGGATTTCCACTGGCTTGATGATTGCTTTGATTCTGGATCGTACCCATAGCACCAAGACTCATCGCCAGTCACAATTCTTTTAAGAAATTCTGGATCGTTCTGCACTTCACTCTTCAAGTCGCGGCAAACATTCACGCGGTTTTCTCTTTGGTCATCTCCGAGCAAGCGAGGAACAAATTTTGCAGACACCCGTCTCATGTGCAAACCTTCGGTTAAAATTCGCTGGACCGTGCTCCATGAGATGTTCGTTTCCTCAGAAAGTTGGTCAATGGTCTTTCGACGATCTTCATCAATTGCACGTTTGATTTTGGCAATGTTTTCGTCATTTCTTCCTGTCGAAGGACGCCCGGGGCGTGGCATGTCTTCTGTTGACATGTTGCCAGATTTGAAACGGGAAAACCACTCGTAGACCTGTGATTTCCCCAAAGCATCATCATTAAAGGTTTGTCGAAGCATCCCAACAGTCTCGGCTGCAGTTTTCCCTAACAGAAAGCAAAATTTCACGCACACTCTTTGTTCCTTCTGGTCGGCCATCTCACTAATCGCCAAAGGGTTGAAACAGGAACGCACACAACAGAGCACCACAGACAAACCACTTAACTCAGACTGACGCCAGCTCACTAACAGTCGCGGGAGACCCCCAGTTAACACCACCTAGCAGCGCAACTCGTAACTACAAAGCATGCGCGCACAACAGGTCGGTTCCGGTTATTTTAGGGTCCCCCTTCGTATTGTGTACTTGCCTGATAGATGACTTTCTATACAGCAGAAACATGTAGCAAAGTACTATTAAACATCAACTGTTTTGTTGAGTTGTGACGGATTTTAATGTGTGTATTATCCTAGACAATAATGGCGAGTGCGCCAAATTTTACAAACATGTGTTTCCTCTGTTCCACAAAGAAATTGAAGTGTTTTCCCTCAGAACCATGAAACTGAAGTGTGCGTGAAGGATAGATCTGGCTCAGGGTGGGGACCAGTGGAGGGCTCTTGTGAACACGGTGATGAATCTTCGGATTCCCTAAAATGCTGAGAAATTCTTGAGTAGCTGCAGATTTGGCGGCTCCTCAAGAAAGGCACAGCTCCATGAGTAAGTAAGAAGTTCATATAAGAATAGTGTGTGTATAGTGAGAGACAGCGTGTCTTTGAGGTTATTCTTGCATTATTATTTATCTCGTGAGAAGTATGTACAGTGATTTGCAGAAAATGTGTTTGATTGGTTATATGGATAGGGAGTGGATTAGATTTTATGAGTGCATATTTGGTATGACAGAAATCAGGGTGTAATTTTGGTATGTAGCCTCTCAGTATTACACGTGTGAGTAGGTTATTAGTCAGGTTTCAGAGATTACGAAGAGAGCTTAACAGAAAAATATATGCAAGTTTATCGTGTGAGAAAATTCGGAAATAAAATGTCTCGTATAAATATATAATGATTCATACGCTATCAGAGACGTTGAATCGTAAGATATTGCCGACGGCCAAACAGTGCTCAACTGAGCATAACGATGAACAATAGTAATTTGCGCACACCTGTCATAATGTACACTCACAAACTAACATTAGCGTAAATTACCGAGCTTCGCCCCCTCCAAGTTACAGATGGATGCGCAGTGGTCTACTGCGCAAACCTAACCTAACCTAACCTAACCTAACATCAGCGAATGGTACCCCTGAGTTTCAGGTGGATGGGAAGTAGTTCATTGCGCACATGCAAGAGTGACGTCATATAGGAAGCGGCAATTTAACGGAACGTAATATAGGATTGACGTAACATGGAATACAAGTCGAAATATGCCATTATGTATAAAATTGAGCGTGTTGACTGTTTTCCCACCCATAATATCAAGCTATGCCCATATATTCCGAGGTTATATTGCTACGTGATAGCTTAGATTTTGTCGAAAACGGCGATCCCACCTCACGAGTTTGCGCATCCACCATGGCGATACAAATGATTACTGAATATAACTTATTATGTCATTATGCTGCCCTCCAATGGCATAAGGGTATGACGGAATATCTTTATTGTCAGTGAAATCGTTCCCTTCCTTCTCTTGGATGGATACGCGAGCAATTGAGTGGCTGCTTGGTATTTGTTTCGCCCGAAATTCCCTTCCTCGATAGGAATTAGAATACAATGATACACGAAAGTGGGTAAAGAATATAGTGAGAAATTACCTTGCCGTATGGAACTGATAATGGAATGTTTCTGTTTCAGTCATGTTAAGAGGTTGGGTACCCTGTGAGAGTGACGTAAATATCCGGGGTACAAAGTCAAGGTACGTTACTTTCCTTGTATGAAGCGGTGTTTATAAATAATAAGACGGTGTTATGTGTGTATAATTATATACATATATGTACAAGTTGTGATTAATTATCTGCCTGAAAGTATATGTTAAAAGATTTCAGTGAGATAGTGCAAATAGTAGGCTTTATTGTGTGTATAATCTTGGATCTAGTAATGGCGAGAGCACGAAATTTTACAAACATGTCTGCCATGTTCCACAACGAAATGGAAGTGTTTTCCCTCTGAAACATGAAACTGAAGTATGTATGAAGAAATAATACACGATAAGTTAGATTTATTGATTTAAGGAAAGTAAGTGCATATAAGAGTAGTGGGTGTGTAGAGAAAGACATCGTGTATTTGAGGTTACTGTTGAACTATTACGTGTA